CTGTTTCATCAGCCGTAGACGGATGGTAATCGATGAGACGGAAGATAAATCAAATGTAATGGTTTGGATAGAATAACACCGGAAATCTTTTGAAAGAAGTTCAGATTTGCGAACGATGAAAGTTAAAAAGCCATCTTTTATTATATCGGAAGTGACATTCTTCCTGATTCACTTTGTGAATATAAATTAACAAAAAGCACTATCTATTGTCAATCGTAGAGAAGAATAAACGTACCTGTATAACTGTAAGATTTCCTATTTTTAATGAATCTATTCAATTATTCGAAAAAAAAAATTCATTTGAAATAAAAGATAAAATAATTTCAAATATTTTTTTGATCTATCTTTATAAGTTATATAAATACCATATTATTGTCATGAATCATTTAGTTTTTTTTTTTTATCAATGCTTACATGTCTATTAATCGTGTTTCGTAATTTTGGATGGAGCGTTATGAATATACCAAAAGAAAATCCATAAACTACGGTAGTAGAAACACTCACGGCATTTTATATAAAGAAAATCGTTAAATATCTTTTAATCTTTCCTTAATCGTTTGAACTCTACCGATATATTCAAAAGATGTGTTTTATTGTTATACTCTTTTTTGTCTTAGCTATCATCTCTATATCTAACAGTCCAGCAAATTGAATACTGATTAGTAGTTTCACGAAGAAAAGAATTTAAACTTGATTGATATTTGAATCAAACATCTAATGGTATTGAAAAATATTAAAGAATTATTCGGTTAGTAATGGTTATTAATCTTTAATGCATTACGATAATTATGTCTATCTGTATAAAGTAGAACTATTCGTTGTTAAATTATTTCAAAGAATCTCCTCATAAAAACGTACAGAATGAACCGTAACAGAAAAAAAATACTTCACGATATTTAAAAATGTGTGCTTTGTTTGTTTACATATTGCGCATATATTTTATTTTTACTTGTTTTTAATATAGAGTGATATTTGTTGCGAAAATTCATTCTAACAATATATATATATATATATATACATGAACAATATGTTCTTCAATTTATTCGGTACAACAAAATCTGGTCATATGTTTTATAGAAATATATATGAACAGAATCGACTGAGAATATTCACTAAAAATTTTTTTAAACATGAACTTATTGGCATATATACATAACAATTATGTTCTTGTACTATTAGAAGTACATAAACATGAAAATTATTGGATAATATTATCAATGTTTGTAAAATACAAGAAACTACTAAAGAAGAAATCTCTTTTAGTTTATTTTTTGTTTTTAAATATATGCTGATACTGAGAATGAGAGAAGAACTCTTTGAAATTCTTAAGTTACAAATTTAAAGAAAGCCTATAGAATAATTGGAATACTATTATTGATTGATGATGTCGAAGACAGACGTAATCTTTTTATGAAAAAATTATAATTTGATGTTGTTTTTGATGTCATAAAGTTTGACTTTTGAATTGCACTTCAGACTTCAAATTTAGTAGGAGTTAGTCAATGAGGAAAAGGTTGAAGTTTTGATTGTCTAGACTATTTTCTTCAATTGTGAGGTAATAGATTCGAGTTATTTCTAACAATTTTACGCGTTCTTATTCTTTAACTAGATGATAGTCCTATGTTTTTGGTAGTAAATTGTGACCATATTTAAATTATGGTACGGAAAATGTGAAATTCAAGCGGATTTTTATTTTTCCTGTATCTATGTATGGTTTGATAATAATTCATGAGTTGATTACAAATATATGATTTTTATTTCAATTGAATCACTGCGTACAATTAGAAAAAAAAAGCTGTAAAAAATGTCAAATAAATGACCAAGAGTCATATATTTTTGTAAGTTTGTATAGAATCTTATATTTTTATTTTCTAAAAACAATAGAAGTATTCAATTCTGATCGAACATGAATGACTCAATTTACAAATATTATTTGATTGGATTTTAACGTAATGAAGTTAAAACATATGTTCAATATCGATAGCTTCAACATACATCTTCGAACAAATATCTTTCCCCATCTCTTTATATTCTTTGTTACATTTTTATTTCCGTAGAGTGTATGATTAATCAGTCTTTCGGTATTGTTGACTAAAATTGAAATGAATCAGTGAATAGAGTATTTAAAATAGCTAACACATGACGTTTTCCTATTCATGAGCTTGCTGTCAGTGATGGCCAAATGTACCGAAAAGCTGAGCCTTTATTAAAGCAGCTAATGATTTATCGTGTACTTTACCGAAATAAAGAACTAAACTTATGCTTACTATTAATATTCGCTTGAACTTAAACGTGTGTAATCTAGGATGTAAAGAGGGAGTTGGATAATCAAGGTTTTATCCAAGAATATACCTCAAGTATATGACGATAGATACTTTCTATATTTGATTTATCATTCGTGAAATTAACTGGGCGTAAGTATCTTATCTAATCAGAATCATTGGACTACGAACTTCATTAAGAGTGTCCCAGAATTTTTGAAACAATTTTAAACTTCATCATTCATTCATTCAACAAAAGCGAACTCTTTGAAACTTTGGCAGATTATTGTACATAGGTAGTACTAGCTAACTACAAAATTTGAGGTCTATAGCTTGTACTATGAATGAGAAACTGTAATAACACTATCATGTACTATTTAAAAAATTTTTCTGATCATCTTGGTTATTATTTTAAAAACAATATAGTTTTTAAAGATACAAGAAAACAAATTAAACGTTATCAAAATTCCTGTGTTTGATTACCATATTGATCGATACATAATTCTAATCAGGTAGGTAAACCCTCCGACACATTAGAAGATCCCCCTATAATACAAGACATCCCCATAATAGAAGATCCCCTCAGAAAATTGATTTTTTTTAAATGTCTGGAGTCTAGCGACTCTTTTAGTATTAAAGTCCATAATGATATCTAAGTTCAGTATCAACAATATTTTACTTTCGTTTGTGATAACAATGTGTCAGTTCCAAGATAGAAAAATCTTGAGAAACAGCTAATAGGAAACAACTGTCTATAGAATAATAGTTTTTTTAAAACATATGGTGGAGTCATTTTAGTGCTTCTTTGCAGCTTCCTCTGGAAAAATTCGTTGATTTCTCTATGCGGAAAAGTCTTTCTATATGATCATAAGATCTAGTGGGCTGAATGTACATTCGCGTGTGTAGCACATGAAACGATCTTTGTAAAATAGTAACATATGAGATAAAATTTCGTTTTGTTTTAATTAAAAAGCTTCTTCATCTGTAACTTTCGTCTAGAGATTCAGAAACGTCTTTATCCCAAAATAGATTTTCATAATTGAACAGAGCCTAACTTCACGTATACACATCAGGGTTTGTGCTGTGAGCAGTTATACGTTTGAGAACGCATTTCTTTTTTCAATACGATCTAAAGGCATTTTTCGAAACAGACACAAAAGAAAAGGCAGAATGTATATTCAACTGCTGTTATTCTACAAACTGTTTCTTCATAAGACAACCGGATTCATTGAAGTTAGCTTGTGACCAATAGCTATGCTAGTGATAGATTCCACTAGGTACGAATTTCATCCATACTAATCAAACTTCAACATAAACAACTGTCTTAAGTAAATTCGTCAAAAAAATTTAATTTTCTTCTTTCATTTATATAGTTATTTAAAAGGTTAAATGTTATCAGTGACAATAGAGTCCTTTAGAAAAAAGAATTCTATTGGACATTGTATCAAGATGTTAGAAAGTGTTGCCTGTATTGTTCTAAGAATACTTACTAACGATGACCTCGTTCTTCTCCAAAGGGTAATATGTTTCTTTCTCATTCTACGCAAGAGGAAGGAATATAAAGAAACTTGTTTACTAACAATGCATCGGGCAAAATTGACTGAAACCAAAATTTGTTGGCGACACTGCCAAAAAATAGCTTTTTTTAACAGGGACATATTAGAAGATCCCTCTTGTAACTTATGAACGATACGACAAAATAGAAGATCCCGAGTCGTCTTCTTATGTGTTGGGAGCTTTATTTTATCTATCGTTCGTTGACATAAATGAATATTAAATTTGTTCTATTCCTTTTTAATGTCATTTTTCAGGATGACCAAATATCGTATTTTCTTGCTTGTTCTTGTCGATTTTCATCATTTGAATATTCGGCACGAACGAATTCAAAATTTCAAGTCGATAAATTTCTGGTTCGCATTGAAGTTTCAGCTCACAATATTGATCTATCGCTTCACACCATAGATATTGCATGGTCTCAGAGCATACTGAATGTCTTGATGATTGGCCAAAAAAATTGAGTCACCAATTCAGAATCTAAATTCTGTCTAAACAAGAAATTTTCCATCTAAAAATTTCATGCTCACTTCTGAACTGTTAACTATTGATTGCCAGAAACTCTTAAGAGAGGGTCCGTGAGAGCACTTAGCAACTTTATCAGGAGCCGGCCGCCGACAAAATTTTGATTTTCGATTTAGGTATCTCAAATGAAAGGTCTAGTCAAACCATAGACAAATCCAAAATATTAGCTCTTTCTGACTTCCCTATGAAAAATGGCATAGTATACAAGTGATACACCCTCCGAAACCT